GATGATGATGTTGATGATGACGATGATGACGGTGATGATGATGATGGTGGTGACGATGATGGTGATGATGATGGTGATGGTTGTGACAATGATATATTTTTCTTGATTTTAGGTGAAAGAGTTTATAAGATTCCATCAGATTCCTAATCCACTGAGGCAGAGGTTTTTTTAAACCAACCAACCAACCAACTAATCAATCAATCAATCAATCAATCAATCAATCAATCAATCAATCAATCAATCAATCAATCAAACAATCAATCAATCAACCAACCAACCAATCAATCAACGTTTTACTCATCATTCAATCATTCTACTTATAATTAAATCAATCAACTAGTTATGCAACTAGCCAGCCAGCCAACCAACCAACTCCTAGTCCTAAATCGATCAACTTTCAAACCAGTCAACACCTCAATCAGCCAATCAAATCACAATCAACCTCCAGATTAGAAGAATATTTCCAACATGCTTGGTCTTACACGAACGGGATCGACATGAACATGGTTTTAAAGGGGTTCCCAGAATGCTTACAGGCAGATATATGCCTGCATCTTAATAGCAATCTACTGCATAGTTGTGCCGCATTTCAAGGTGCAGTGAATGAATGAATGAGTGAATTAATGGGTGAATGAATGAATGAATTCAGAAATGAATGGGTGAATGAATGTATGAATGGGTAGATAAAGGAATGAGTGAATGAGCGTTTGAATTATTGATAAATTGGTTGTATGACCAGTTGAATAATAACGAAATACTAGTTGAACGAATGAAACCACATCAGTATCCGAACCTATATTATGTTACTATCATCATCAACGACACCATCCTCACTACTATCATCATCATCATCACTACTAATCATCATCATCACTATCATCATCATCATAACCAGGGGCTAGTCCGGGCTGCCTTCGTGCCCTCTCGATGAAGTTCAAAACGACCCATGTACCCCCGGGAGATACCCTCGTTCATAGGGGCGATATTTTGGACGCCATTTATTTTATATCTAGGGGGTCTATAGAAATATTAAAGGACGATAATATAGTGGCGATATTAAGTTAGTTGCTGCTTTATCTTTGCTAATTTTTGTAGTAGTTATATTCATAGACGTGTTATATAGGAGAATAATAATATGTAATGTATGCATCACACACACACACCACACACACACACACACACACATACACACACGCACGTACACGAAGACACACACACACACGCACGCACGCATACAAACAAACACAGACAAGGACCACATATTTGGCGAGAATATCTGTCTACACGAATCAATGGGTAAATCGAGTTGCAACGTGCGCGCCCTGACCTACTGTGACCTCCACAAGGTCTTAAGGTCGGATCTCATGGACGTACTACGCATGTACCCGGAGTTTGCGGAGGAATTTGTAAAAAATTTGGTCGTAACCTTTGACCTTAGAGATGTGGGTGGTTTGTTCTGCGTCCTGATTGGTTGATTGATTAATTCGTTCATTCTTTCATTCATTATCATCACCATCGTCACATCACATCATCATCACCATCTTGATCGTCATCAGGAGGAGTTGACGACGTCACACATCGAATCAGACCAGAGGGGGCACGCACCTCAGACTACATTCCTACCGAATAGGATCCCCATGCTGTCACTCTATGATAAACAGCAGCAGCAGCAACAACAACAATTGGCTATTGGTTTG